AGGGATCGTATATAAGTAACCATCAATTTTTGATTATTTTTCTGGCCATCTCCTTCCTCAGGCTAGGTGTGTCTGTCTAGTGAATAAAATAAAAATACATTTGAGTAGAAAGATAAATATGTTGATTAATTTTAATCAGTAATTAATTAGGATGACCTGCTGCTTGGCACTGTGAATGGCACTGGCCCGTCCTGTTACAGTTCTTTGCCAAACCATTAAAATTTCACCAATAAATTTCCATGAGATCTTAACCACTTCATTCACTACTTCTACATAAAGTTATGAATATATGATACAATATGCCACACGTTTTTCAATCCATTATTCTTTGATCTTCTAATTCAGTACACAACTTTTAATTTTTGTTTTGAAATATCAGACTTATAAGAAAGCTGCAAAAATAATAGCATTCATGTATACTCTGCCTCCCCCAATGTTAACAATTTACCTAACTATAGTATAAATAAGCCCTGGTGACACAGTTAAGCGCTTGGCTGCTAACTGAAATGGTGGTTCAAACCCACCCAGAAGCTCTGTGGTAGAAAGAACTGACGATCTGTAATCTAAAGATTACAGCCAAGAAGACCCTATAGAGCAGTTCTACTCTATCACATGGGGTCACTATGAGTCAAAACAGACTCAACGGCACCCAAAAACAACAGCATAGAATAATTATCAAAACCAGAAATTAATGTTGCTATAATACTGAGACGGACAGGGTTAACTGTGCTGGCAGAATAAAAAAGCCGTTAAAAGACTACCACCTAGAAGCTGGGTAAACAGGAACCAATCCTGTCACATAAGCTAACGTTAGAACAACCCACGAATTACTACTTCCTCCTTAGTGTTTTTCTAGTCCCTTCGCCTTCTTATAGGCTCTGCACATGCAGAAGAACAAAGCGTGACCGCTGTTTTGGACCACCAAAGAGGGCGAGGGAGTACAGAAGATCAGCGTGCCTGCGCCAAATCCCATAACCCACAATGAGTGATGCCGAGAGCTGCCAAGGGGACTCCATCTTGAATATTAGCAAGTTCCATCTTGGATTCTAGATACGTGCACCTAATCTTCATAACCCTGCCTCTTTCATGAATAAAGATGATGCCTTTTCCCACCTAAAAACTTTATAAACCCTAGTCAATCCTCTGTTCGGGGAAACAAAAGCTAGCGTTGGCTTGGTCCCTCTTTGTCTCCACTCGTGAGCTACTTTGGCTCAATAGAGCTTTGTTCGTGCAGAAAACTTGAGCCTCTCCTGGTCGTTCTTGGTCAGTAGAAGACAAGAACCTCATAGGGGCTGCCCAGGTTGGGCAGAAGACCCCGGCAACAATACTATTAATTAAACTACAGATCTTATTTGAATTTCAACAGTTTCCACCTAAAGTCCTTTTTCTGTTCTAGAATCCACAATGATTTAGCTGTTGTGTATCCTCAGTCTCCTCCAGTCTATGAAGATCCTCATTCTTTACTAGTATAGTCTTTT